GGCTTCGTATTTTCACTTTTGATGGCAGGATTCGATTTGTCGTTGATATTTATTTTATCAAATGGTATAAAACCGATACCCGGCTGCGGCACATTCGCCTGCTTCACTTCTGAGGTATCAAGTAACTTCAAGTAACATTTGTGATGTTTACGTGGAATACACATATATCACTTTATCACTGTTTCATGTTTTTATTTAAACTAATCTAAAAGTGATGCAAAAACTAAGTAAGCCAAAAGTAAGCAAACAATTCATCATATTTTATTTCTGAAACCCCAAAAGAAACGATTTTGAACAATTCTTGGCAGAATAATATCTAATAATTTACTATCAAATAATGTAATTCATGACATTTTAGTCATTTCGCACCTATTGGGGAATGTCCAATATGGTTGTCAATTTACTATCGTGTTTATTGACAATCGTCGTTGCACTGTTGCTCAAAATGAGGAAAATGCGAAATGCAATCGGCAATAATAGTATTGTCCGAAAAAAAGAGGATAAGTGGGTAAGTAATTTCGAATGTTTTGGAAAATAACTGATGAAATGTATGCAAACCAATTCTCCAAATTATCCGAATTCTATTTGAAAAGTTTTCAAGCATTCCTTATAGACATTAAAGTGTATGATATAATTCAAATATTACAGGCAAGCCGAGCATCATTTTATGTTCTTATCGTATCAGCAATATTTGGTGTTATTCCGGGTGGAATAAACGGTTGTGCACAAAAAATTGAGTCTGAATTAAGTTTTCCAATTTGTAATTTACGAAACTATAAATCAAATAATTGCTTGATTAGCTATTCATTTCATTGTCGCTAAGAGAATATGTGACATATCGAAAATAAAAAAAAAAGCGTTTCACCATATTTATAGGTAATCAGACAACTTTTTTATTTGATAAGCGTCAAATTAATGAGAAATGATGAGACGATGATTTGTGTTTAATTGTCTCTTAATAGGATTTAATAAAAATCAGATGGAAAATACTTTTAATATTGTTTTGATTATTTCAGTTCATCAAAGCATTGGCATTTTACATTCAGTTATGCGCATCAATCAGCGGACTATCTCATGCATTCATTTTTGGTATGGCTCATACTCTCATTCGACGTCGAATCTTTGTGATGCTCAAACTAGACAAGTGTTTCCTACAGAAATCATGAAGATGAAGATGATTGTTTATCCAATGATTAATCTGATTTAATTCACGTAACATTTCCTTATTAATTTTCGTAAATTCATTGGCGTCATAACAATAATTTTCCGCTATTGTTACTGATTAGCTTCGCGCTCTTAATTTTCTGTTATATATGGTGTTCCGTAAAATACTGACAATCTAATCATGGTAATGATGGTGATGATGATGATGATGATAATGATGATGAATCTGCGTGAAAAGAGAAACGTCGAATAGTAAGGATGAAATATTTTTCATGAATAAAGTATAAATTCTTAATGCATATACGAATTTTTTCAAAGGAGTTTGAACTTTTTAGATTAATCGCAAATAACTGATTGAGAAACATTAAATTAACAATCATTTTTTTGACGATTTTTTTTGTAATTTATACTGTGCTTTCTAAAATATAGTGCTATTATGCAGCATATATTGCAATATATAGTATAGGCATTCTGAAATTTGCATAACATGAATGACGGTATCATTACTAATTAGGCTTTAGGTTGTTTTAGCTTTAGGTTTTAGGTTTTTTTTTCGAACTATTCGACATCAGCAAAATAATCCATTCAAAGTGATTACCTTCAATGATAATTGATAATTGAAATTTTCAATGAAAGTTGAAGTTTGTTTACATTTGAAGTCAAAAACTAAATAAATAAATACTTATAGGGGGAAATGATGAAGTTCTGTAGTATGCATGCAAAGTAACATATGCCATCAAATTTTCTAATTTGGTAGCATTTGTAAATTATTTATGCTTTGATGAAGTTTGTATGCAAAATATGAATCATTTCATAGCATCATTCTTATTTCATATGAATTATAAACGAATTTTTTTTTCGTTTAATGAGTACATTAATTTTAGAAGTATTACGAAATTGCTGTATTTACTGTTTTTTTTCCATAATTTTCATTAATTTTTGTATCTGTTGCAACTATTAAAGCAAAACGCAAAATAATTATTATATAAATTAAATTGCTATATAAGAGCAATCGGAAGGTGTAAGGGAGATGTCATATTATTTATGAAAAGTAGTTAGTGCAAGTTAAAATATGTTTTCATAAAATTGTTCTACAATTATCCGGTTATTCTATAATCATCCAGCTGAGCAACATCTTATACGAAATTTGATAAGCACTAGTTTTAGATTTCTTCGAAAATTGGAACGAAATTTAATATTCGATTTGAATTTAATTGCACATTTCATGCCAAGAAAGAACCAAGATATAATATAATTAGTAAATTAAATCATCAGGTGAAATAATTCAATTGTTCATTACTTTTATCGTTAAAATATGCAAGTTATAAGTTCTTGAGATAATATATATATATATATATATATATATATATATATATATATATATATATATATATATATATATATATATAT